GCTCCCCCAGCAGGTGCATCGCCCCTGTCACTTCATTCACTGTGGAACTTTTACACGCAGATGCACAGCTGCAATAACCTTCTCATGGAGCTGCTTTTCAGTGCTAAAAAGAAACTGGACCCTGCATACGAACACTCACTCTCCATCCTCCTGCTCTGCTAGCCTTACCCTACCTGTTCTGATTAAACCTTACAAGTTTTCAGCTCCAGTTATAATGTCTTGAGCCAAGAGCATTTTCAGCTAAATTAAGTCCCCATGATACCACTGGGCAGGACAATCTCAAGGATGTCCTGCTCCACCTGTACTTCCCTTGCAGTTCTCCCGAGGAACTTCAAGAATATCACCAGTTTCAAACACAAGGGCAGGAGGGCAAGCGCCAAAACAAATGGTGTGCATTTTTTTCTGTCGTACTTCCAAAAGCTTTACAAGGTCTAACCAGAAAAACACATTTACTTTTCACTTTCTTGAGACTGTTGGGCCTGAGCTCTTTCTTTTTTTTTTCTCCCTTAAATTTATGTTTTTAGAAGTAGGAAGGCTAAAGATTTAACTTCTTCATACAAAAGCCAAAATTCTCACATCGCTATTCCGTTAGTCCTACAGCAAACAGTAACAGATGGCAACACCGCTTGTGAGCCACCTTGCACTTACAGAACCCTCTTTGTAATTCATCTCCCCACAGGACCTTCCTAACCAACTTCCAGAAAATGCACAAAATCACAAGTAACACACGCTTCCATATCCCCGCAGAACTCCTTGTTACCTTTATGAACAAAGACAGGCAGAAAGGCTTCTACCACCTTGCTGAAGAGAGCACAGCGAGAAACCTCATGACACTAAGCCGACCCTAGCAAGCCACCCGTGCCGGCCTGCATTGACAAAATACTGGTTTGGCCTATAGACTGGGAACAAATTTAATAACAACTAGTTCCACTGAGTCGCTTTCCACTTAGGATACCTTTCAATTCCAAGAGAGGCAATCTGGTTTGGGGTATCATGCCAATGAAGTGCTTAAGGCTTCATTTCTAAGAAGGCAAACAGGTAGAACCAGAACCTTCCTGCATATTCTCAGCAAGACACAGAAAACTAAATCATTAAAAAAACAGGACGATAAAATAGGATTATCTTCTGGTTAGTTACAAGACTTACTTCCTGATGCAAGAATCTGCCACCAGCATCACACGCCTGTGACTTCCTTGAGCCTTTAAGCAGGACTTCTTCAACAGCACCTTTAATAATAACACCACACTTGTATTTCACAGTAATGAAACCCTCCTCTAGTACTGAAAGATTCAACAGCTTAGGTAAATGCCAAATATTTAAAGCTATTGGTCTAATCAGAGATGCTGTCTCATTACACACCCTCGTGTTACCATGATCTAGACATTCTTGAACAAGCCGACAGGTCACAAACACAGCGTTAGCGAATGAGCAGATCAACGTTGTTACACAAGGGACAGTGACCACCGTGCAAATGAATTCTCAAGTTGAACCATGACAGTCCATGAACTGGAAAACACTATCCAATACGGGAGAGTACTCTGTAACAATTACGATTAATTCTGTTTAAGCTTTTAAACTCTGCCAAAACAAGTAATACAAGTTATTGTAGAGATGCTTATGGCCATCTGAAGTACAAAAGACACTGAAGCAAGCCAGCTATTCCATGGTTTGTTGGAAAGCTCATCTTCTCTGTACTAGGTTAGTTCCGTTTGAGAGGGCACAAAATCCAGCCTCACAAACTCTACTGAAATGGTAAAAGCACCCTATGAAAGAAAGGATGGACCAACCCATACACTCTGTGAAGTCCCCGGGATCTTAGGGCACTACATTTAAGTATACCCAGCAGAAATGCTGACATTAATCTTTATCTGAAATGTTAAAAAACACGCAACTGCATATGCCTGCCCTGTAAAACACTCAACTTCTCCTACTCACTAATGCAGGCATAATTTCTGGTTACATTAATTTTTGTCAAATTTACATTTTATGGAAAAATGTGTTTCCATTAATTTTCACTTCCAAGAACTTCTCAAAAATAAATAAAAAACCCAACATTGTCTGAACACCAATTTCTGCTCTATTTTTTCTAGTAGTACCCAACAATATAAAACAGTAGTGCTTTTTTTTTTTTTAAAATTTGTAGCAGTGTTCTAGGTAAGCTGAACAATTTCCTTCCCCCATGATGGAGGGGCCTCCCACCCACAAGGTCTTGTCAAATATATATCCACAGTTCAGTTGCTGTTTTCCAGAAAATGTGTTCCAGTATAAGGCCTGACCCTGCTCCTTATACATGTCCTGGCTTTGGCCAGGATAGAGCCAACTTTCACCATTAACGAAATAAGCTTTTCTTAAAGTCTAAAGAATCATGGCAATTAATACATACTTCTATTAATACTCTGAGTTCAAACGAATGTTGCTCTCTGCTTTTCAGAATGTCTGGAATCCAGTTGTCACAGTTTTTTCCCAGTAACTTACAATTCTGAGCTCTACACAGCTTCTATTAACAGTGCAGAACACCTGAGCACCTTGCCAAAAATAAAATTCAAGCCCAATTATTACTCAGATTTTTTTTTACTAGTAACACTTCAGACAGCAATAAAATGAAATGCAGATACATGTTTTTCCCTGTTCGCTTTGTAAAAGTGGCAGTTATGCAGGAGATTTTCAAAATTAAAGAAATAGGATTATAAAACCACAAAATTGACCCAGGGCCTTTGGGTATACAGAGTACTTACAGTTATAATTAATTTTTTAGTGTGACAAGATTTCAAACTGACTGTGGAATTTCAGAAGCTGTTTCAAATTTCTTCTATTCCAGTTTAGCAATTCTAATCACATATGAAACCACTTAGCATTCAGCTCAAAATCAAAACTACTTCAAGGCGTGGTAATAAATAGTGTTTCTAAACTCCTGCGAAGCTGTTGTGTAACAGGGATGTACCCAGCCCCTGACCCTGCTCTCCCACCACACCACCCACAAGGCAGAGGCTGCAGTCAAGGCTCCCCCATTTCTCTGAGTGCAGCCTCAGAGCACGTCTCTGCTCCCCACACTGCCCTGAGCTGGGACCACTCACCACAGCTTTTTCTCCAGTTCTTCCTGACACCAGCAACGCTCTCACAAGCGAGGAGCCACGTTACTGAACCCCAGAACTGCCAGGAACGGTGCGTGGTGTGACGCTGCTTTCTGCAGATCAGCACTGCTATACACGTAAATATGCTCTGCACAGGGAGAGGCACGACATGCTCCTCCTGGACAAGTCATTTCCAGAAGTGTTACACTAGGAGAAGGCCGTTTCAAATTCAGTAGAATTAAAAGCAAATAAAGAAACACCAGGTCAGGAGCAATATGTGCACAAAGATATAGTTTAACTTTGGTGCTAAACAGTATTTTAAACACACAATGTAGGCACTCTTTATCACATTGGAGTTTAAAATGGGACACATCTTTACTGCATCAAAGGTTTTCCTCATACATCAAGACCATGCGTACCTGCTTTCAGGATTTTACAAACAGATTTGAACTCATATTTAGTCAAAAAACAGCTGCTGAGTATAAGCTGTAAATGTAGAAGAAAAACATGAGAACACTATGTCAAGAGAAAAGAATTTACAATTAAAACTAAACCGAGGCTGGTGATCTGGGCAACAAGACAAAGTAATTATACACGTGGTAAATGCAAGAAAAATTCAATTACTGCAGGGCAGATCTGACATCTGCGCTAGCAGCGGTGCTACAGATCATTAGTTACAGGCATTTCACACCAAGTCCTACAGAAGATAATTTAAGCAGTGATGACACCAGCTCCTCCCCATCTCTTGCCCTAATGACATTGTTTTTTCCATTACAGGGGTTACTTCTTCATAGAATGATCTGTTAAGACATTTTATATGCTAATGTTTAAGCAACCAAACTCTGCTTATAAAAGTTTCTTTTAAATAAAACCCCACTGTTCTAATATTAAAATATATTTATATTTTATGGTCTCTTAAAACAGCAGCTACATGCAAAGTTGTAGCAAGTTAATTCAAATTTTAAATCCCTGATGAATTTTCATATTGTGTCCTATCAAAATATAAACAATTTAGCATTTTAACTAGCCAAAACCTATGTATTTTTTCCATTTATACTGCAACTAAAAGACCTCTTAAACTCGCCTCTACCATTGCACAGCTTTGATTTCTTCAGACCCATGCCCCTTCCAAGTAAGAAAGAGTTGTCCAAAAATTCGTTCAGAAAACTATTTCTGGTGTGGTATGGGAGGCTGCCCGGGGTTCGTTTTGCAGTTCCAGGTGGTGAGTTACCTGAAGAAAGCAGCGCACAGGTAGGTGTGCGGGTTGGCACACGGTCTCTGAAGCTGGCCTGACGATACAGCTGGGAGAGAGTCCCCGGAGGCAGGTGCTCTGTCCCACCCCGGGCACACGCACCCGTCACTCCCGTACAGCCCCGGACGGAAAACGAGAGGCGACCACGACTTTTCCCGTCAGGTGAACTTTTGATGTGGCATTGCTGCCACCACACGGCCAAACCGCTCTACTACTCTCCCCCTTCCCTGACCTCCGGGCACTCTACCCAAGCGTCTCATCCCACCTTTCCACTCCAACTGTTGTAATCAAATTTAAGTTTTAAGGAGCTAATGAATAACTAATTATCATTTTAATCAATCACCATTTTAATTAAAATAGTTAATGGACTTATATTAGCATAAGGAATATAAAACCTTAAAAATCTTACTTATGCTAAGAAATAGTGTGTAGGCCTTGGCTCCAAGTAGAGCTGATACAAGTTGCGAAACTGACAGGGAATGTTTTATGTTTGTTTCCCTTCCTCCCTGGGGATGTTCTGTGCCTGCTTCCCTACCTCCCTGGAACGTTCGGAACTTACCTCCCAATCCTTTTATCTTATGTTTTGTGATAGTAACATAGAAACATCGCACACCTCACCTTAATTTGCATATCAACAGAATAACCAATAATCGTATTGATATAAGAATATTAATAA